TTTTTTAAAAGACTCTATCTCCCTCTCCCAGACTGGAAGTTCAGTGGCCACTTACAGCCTGATCTCAAAACTGATCAGTCCAGGTCTGTTTTGTTGACCTAGACCAGCCAATTTGGCCCTCTTCAAGCAATCTGATGGCCTGCTTTTAATTCTATTGCAGCCAGAATTCTCTGTTTCAAGTGACCAATCAACTCCAGCCTCCCTCATTTGCAGAGAATACAGATACGTGTCAACACATCTGGGCAAGAGGGTACTTCTCAAAGAATTCAGCTATGAATTGGTTAGCAGCAATCTAATCATTGCCAAAGATTAAATGAGAAATTTAATATTTGAAAAAGCCAGTCTAATAAACCCATCATTCATTTCTTTAAATTCCTAGAACTTTATTGTCAACATCATCAAAAATCAATTTCTTTAGAACAGGTTATTTTAGTGCCCAATAGAAATGACTTCACTGATATTCTGGGTTATGCTCCATAAAAGGTGATGTGCTTCTCCAATATTGATACAAGAATGTGTAAGCAATATTTTTGTACCTTCTATAGAACTGTGCTTGGAGGTGATTGTCTATTACGTTATCTAATGCCCTTATATAAGAGTATTCTTCTTTGAATCCAGTTCCACTGAAAAAGTTTATCTCTGATAAAAGAAAACACTCAAGTTTGTCTGTAATCAAGAATGATAAAATTCAACAAGTTCCCCTCTTCAAATTCAATGCCAGGAAATTCAAGGCTAAATTCAGCATTCAGCTGTAGTAGTTAATTCATTTTAAGTGCCAAGTAAAAACTGCCCTTTTTGATTGCTTATTTTTTCTATGTTAAGTTTTAAATCTTTTTGTGAAGTGTATAATATAATATACAATGTCAAGAAGTAAATAATTTTTTTAAAAAATACCACACAGTGAATATGATTACTCAGTCCATGGACTGTTCCTTTTTTTTCTTTCCCTCTCCTCCATCTCTTCTAACACCTGATTTTTGTCTCCAGATCTCTCTCAATTAACAGGAAAGAGGCACTCTAAAACTGCAGACCAATTCACAATTTGCCAACAGCTTACCTTCAGAAAGTTGGCAAATGACTTGTTTGGGACCCCAGCCATATTTCCCAGGTGAACTACATTGTAAATGGGCCTTATCTTTGCCAATTCAATGTGTAATGTAACTGAAAATGTCAAGGAACATCTACTGAGTTGTAAGAGGGTTGCCACCTAAATTAATGGGGAGAATACATGTTGGGACAAAATAACGGATCCTTGAAGTGCTGAAACATGAACTGAAATAGTACAATAGTACTGTGTTATGAGTTTTACTATCTTGTGAGGGATAGGCTAGGAAATTGACTTCCAATTGTTTCTACAGGGACTCAGTACACCAGAAACATATCCCTCCAAGCAGTACTATAGTCAAGGGAGAGCTTGGCTGCCTGCAAGAAAGGAATCTCCCTTCCCAACTACTGTAACAACCATCAGCCACCTGTGGAGAAGATACTTCTGTGTTGTGGGGGGAGGAGACTCTCTTGCCATATGGTGTAAAGTAGGAAATACTTGGATATTTCAAAGAGCCATGATTTTGTTGGTATAAGTATTTCTGGCACCAATGCCAATTTCAAGCCCTGATCCTCAAAATTGCTGTAATCAAAAATTCATCTTTTCAAAGGCTGGGAAATAAAGTTAGGAGGGATAGTCATAATGTTGGATGACAGAGTCAGGGTCCAAAAAGATCTTGACAGGTTAGATTAGTAGGCTGGGTGTGAGATAAAATGGAATAGGGATAAATGTAGTCTTACATCTGAGTTAATGAAAATTAACTTGAGGCACTATGGTATAGTAGAGTGATTCTGGATTTGGAGTCAGATGACCTATATTTAAATCCCAGCCTGCTACTTACTACCATTGTGACCTTAGGCAAGTGATTTCTCTGGGCCTCAGTTTACTTGTATCAAAATATGGAGGGAGGAAAGGCTGAGCTACATGGCTTCTGACGTTACTTCCATGAATTTCATATGTACAAGACGGCAGGGGTGTGATTAGACAGTATTTACATGATAATTTTGTTATATATTTGAAAGGAGTAGCAAGTTGTACGTAGCAGATTTCCAGTTTCATGTGCAATTGTCTTTTTTATTGTACTATGTTATGGAAATGCTTCTTTTATTCCATAAATTAAAAATAAAAAATTTTAAAGTTAAAAAAACAAATTAAGTTTAAAAAAATTAAAAGAGCACTGAGAGTCCTAGAGGACTTTGATCTCAATATTAGCCAACAGTGGCAATGATTGGCTGCATTGGGTTGAAAGTATAAAGTCCAGGACTAGGGAGGCCAGGATTCTGCTCTGCTCTACCCTAGTTGGAACATATGGAGGATATTGTGTTCAATTCTGGGCACCATGTTTTAAGAACCTGCAGAAATAACCAGAGGAGGGGGACAGAGTGATGAACGGCTTTGAGATCTTTTTTTTTTTTTAATTAAGCTACATTGAAGGAACTGGGGATGTTTAGCCAGAAGAAGAGAAGATTTAGGTAGAATAGGGTAGCTAACTTTAAATACAATATTTGAAAGGTTGCCATGTGAAAAAAGTGTGTGACTTAGCCTTGCTGGCCACAGAAGGAACTAGGAGCAATGCATAAAGGTTGCAAAAAAAAAAAGCATATTTAGGCTTTCCATAAGGAAAACTGCCTAACACTTTGAGCTATCCAAAAGTGGGAGTAGTGAGCCCCACCTCCTTGGAGGTTTTCAAAGGAATTTCTTGTCAGGTATATTGTAAAGAGGAGTCGTGTTCAGAGATGGGTCAAAATAGATGGCCTTTAAAAGCCCTTCCAACTGAGCATCTCTAATGAGGGATATCATCAGCTCCAAGGCTATTCCATGCATTTTTGGACAGCTCAAAGAAAGGAGAGGAAGAGAAGCTTCCCCAGTTTCTGCCGGAGCATACCAATGAGCAAATTATGCTTGTGCCGCCAGTTCTGTTTTCAGCCTAACAATCTGTTACTGTTTTCCTGAGTTCCTATGTCCTCTGAGATGTTTGCTGTCATTTCCTATATTGGGGTTTGCTGCTATATTGTAACTGGCAGGAAGAGGTTAAAAAAATTCATCTCTCCCCACCAATCTTGGTAAAAATCAAGGGTTGCTTTTACAGATTATGTGTGATAATTCAGGGTTTTTGGAATTCTCTTTAATTTATGTCAAACAAAGAGATATCTTTTTTTTTTACCCTGTTCATTAGCAATTTACACAGGGGATGGGCAGAGAGAAACATGGATGGACCTAAAGCTCAACTTATCAGCTATATACTCAAAAAAACTGTCATCCAGGTGGCATCATCTCCAACAAGGAAGTCAGTAATTCATCCAATTTTGCCACCTCATTAGTAGAGCTTATAAAAGACTTGGTAAGAGAGAAGACAGAAATTATCATTTGAACCAAGTTGAAATTTGGGATCATGACTCTGTTAAATTCTTCCTTCGAATCTCCACGTGTGGGTTATTCTAAAGAGCAAATTATCGAAAGAAACTATCTGGAGGAATAATTCCAATCGTCTTCTTCAATTCTCACTAAGTGATCATATTCACCTTGGCATTAACTAGCACAAAACCAACAAATTAATTACCCTGCAACTATGTTGATGGGAAGGTAGAAGGGGAGGTAAGGTTTCAATGGAAATTGCTTAGTTAAAATCAACTTTGTAAAGACCATTTCTGAATGTTATGTTCATAGATATTGCAAACACTTAAATGGCTCATTAAAGATGAAAAACAATGTAACAGAGGTGTTTGAGGATAATGGAAAGATAACTGAATTTAGAATCAGAGGAGTAAGCCTTAATGTTGGCTGCTACTGTCTATACTACTGCTTTCTCTCTCACACTCAATTTGCAAAGTAGCTTGTTGGTTCAAATGATCTCTAAGGCACCTTCTTTCTAGCTTCAAATCCTATAAGCCCAGTTACCAGTTTGTATGTGTACCTTTCTTTCCTGTAGTGCTAATGGTCTTTGATATTCTTCTGTAAAAATGATTTAAAATAAATCAAATTATGATCAGTTTTCAAATAGAATCCAAGCAAATTGGCCTCCCAAAAAAGTAGAGATTGTAGTAAAAGTATCTTGTTTGAATATTGAAAAGTGGGGGCACTTTCTGCAGCGCTTGGATTTTTTGGATGGGAATTTGTTGAAGTGGGGAAGGGGTAAATGTATGCAGACCAGGCAATGAATGATGAAGACAATTACATAAATCTCAGAGAGAAATGAATTCCCTTGGCATTGCTTTTTCTGGAAAACACTTATTCCCTTGTTTTTCTGCTGGCACTGGTCACACCATAATGGGGGAGGGGGAAGTGGGAGTGAGTTCAGTGGCCAACTTAAGGCATCCAGTCAAAACAAGAGCAAATTGGAAAGCATCCCTCTTGGAGGCCTAGGACACACACTCTCTCTCTCTCTCTCTCTCTCTCTCTCTCTCTCTCTCTCTGCAAGTTCAGCCTGAGCAGAGAGGAATTAAAGCCCTCCTCATCCCTCCTGCACTCCCTTAGGAAAGCTGCACATAAATGCCTTTCAAATGTCCCTTACATTAACTGAAACGGGAGGGGGGGATTAAAGACTCCTCCTCCCCTCCTTTCCTCTCCCCAAAGCACCCAGCTGGCAGTACAGAACATAGGAGAACTCGAAGCTGCAGCCCATCCCCTTTAAGAGTTGTGGGCTTTGGTTGGCCCAGTTCCTGAAGCCTGCGCTGTTCGAGATATCTGAAGCCGATGCACCCCTGCTAGCGGGCCTGATAAAGTATTCCGGGCATCCTGAGCATTCCGGGCATCCTGAGCATTCCGGGCATCCCGCAGGTGGAACGAGGCTGGGACCCGGGCCAGGATAGAGCAGGGCCCCTGAAGCTCCAGAGCCCAAGGTCCTGACTGACGATTGCGACCTGGAAGGGGCCAGATCCCACCGACCTCCGCCCCCCTCCTTCCCCATGGGTTGTGGCAGATGCACATCCGAAGAGGGCACTGGCCTAAGTTTTACCTGCAGAGACATGACTGCGGCGCTACTCTTCTAAGCACCAAGCTTCGGCTCCCGAGGTAGCTGCTGCTCACGCGGTCCTGGATGGACAGCTCTCCCCCATCCCCGCTGGCTTCCCAGCCCCTTCTTAAAGCCCCGAGGCCACCCGAGAGGCATGGCCCCTGAGCCTCCGATTGGCCCGGAGGCTTGTGACTCGGTGCCCGAGGGAGCTGAGTGACGTCAGCACCCGCCTCCCCCACCTGTTAGGGGCATTGGGCGCTGTCGTTGCCTCAGCTGTCCCGCTCGTCTCTTGGGGGTTGGGGGTGGGAGGAGAAAGAACCTCAGGCTGCCAGCTGTGCCAGTGGCAACAACAGAAAGCTGTGGGGACCGCGAGCGAGAAGCTCAGCGAGTCTGTGAATGCCTCTCTATTCTTGGCTTCTGTCCTCCAACTTCTCCAGGGTTTGCGGGCAGAAAGACCAGGGGGACCATTCAAAGGGCACTGACCTCACTTGGGCTTTCTCCTTTTTTAATTATCTTTTCACCCTAGAGGTTCCTCAAAATAGACGAAGAGTCAAGAGACCTGGGTTCAAATCCCAGTTCTGCCCTTGCCACCCTGTGACCTTACACACAATAATTTCACTACTTTAAGCCTCAATTGCCTTCTCTCCAAAATGAAGGAGTGGGTCTAGGTCAGTGATTCTTAACCTATTTGTGTCATGGACTCTTAGCAGTCTCGTGAAGCTTGCAGACCTTTCTCAGAGTAATGTTTTTTAATAATTGAAGGGATTGCTAAATTTCAGTTAGAGATTAAGGGGGGGGGAGATGCATTCTCTGCCCCCCCCATTCACAGACACCCTGAAGTCTACTAGCAGACTTCTGACCCCACATTATGAACTTAGGACTAGATGGTCTCTGAATGGGCCCTCCCAACTTCAAACCTGAGACTTCAACTAGCTTTTGGGGGAGTCTAGCTAGAGTTGAAACAAGAACTAGACAGGTCAAACACTACTTCAAATTTTAAAACTGAAAGGTGAAGAAATATCTATGAAATACATCTGGATAATCTCAAACTTGCCAAGCCATTACGATGAACAAACTAGGACCAGGGTTGCTCTTCACAAAAAGGCACATCATCAGTAGCCTGGCGCTTTGGTGATGAAACTTTTTTGGCCATGGCCACCATGAATCATGGGAAAATGTTTTTTAAATGACTCTCAATCTAGTGTAGCTCCTTTCTGTTTCTGAAGTAAGGGTTGAAAAGTGGGAGGGAAGGACACAGAAGGTACTAACAATCAGTTATTAGATTACCAACAAATTTTAATTTGACTATTTGTACTGTAAATGTGACATCCACTGTGGCCAATGAATGGACATATTGCTTGAGGGACTTTTGACCAGCAAACCTGTCCCATGCTAAGGGACTGTTGAAAGAGGAATGAGAGAGTAAGAGAATTAGAAAGCCAAAGGAAGACCTTGGAATAAGAAAGAGAAAGTGATGAGAGGGAAAGTGGCCCTACACCTTTCAGCTTTAGAATCTGAGGTGGTGTTTGACCTGTCTAGTTCTTGTTACAACTCTAGCTAGACTCCTCCAAAAGCTAGTTGAAGTCTCAGGTTTGGAGTTGGGAGGGCCCATTCAGAGACCATTTAGTCCTAAGTTCATAATGTGGGATCAGAAATCTTCCAGTAGCAAAGAATTTCTCAGGCTGAGAAGGTATGACAAAATTATGCAGAAGAGACATAAGCAAGCACTGTGTTGCTACAACCAGTCGGGACTCCTGACACTGGAGCCAGTGATCCATCATCCCTCTGATCTATTCTTTTCTCTCTCTCCCCTAGCCTGATGCCCCTCCTTCTCTCTTGGTGGAAGGCTAATCTTTGTTTCTGAAAAGTTTATTTATCTTATTGTTTTGTCTTTTGTACCAGCAATTGTGATAAAAGCTGTTAACTACTGCATTGCTAATCTATATATATTATTACTTGGAAAGCAATGGAAAGGGATAATTGTGGCTTTGTAAGGACGGTAGAGATTTAAAACTGTAAGTACTTTCTGCCAGGATTCAACTGACTGGGGGATCAGGGCTGTAGGAGAAAATTGTTATTCGTGGTTACAATTTCCCAGTTCAGAGACAGTTTTTTAAAAAGGTAGTATGAAATGGGCAACATAAAAGCTTGATTTCTTCCTGAGTGTTTGAGTAACTTTGAATAAATATTCTTATTCAAAGAATTCTTTAAGCAATGAACCAACCAATCAATAAATATGTCTTAAGCACTTGTGCCAGGCATTGTGACAAGCACCAGGGGTACAAAAGGAGGCCAAAGACAATCCCTGTTCTCAAGGGGTTCACAGTGAAATGAAGGAAACAATAAACAAACAAATATATACAAACAAGCTATATACAGGATAAAGAGGAAATAGTAAGAGAGGGAGGCCACTAGAATTGAGTTTTTAAGAAAAGCTTCCCAAGGAATATGGAATCTTGATTGGGACTTAAAGGAAGTCAGTAGGCGGAGATGAGGAGAAAGAGCATTCCTGGCATGCAGAACAGCCAGAGAATGCTGGAAACTGAAAGACAGCGTGTCTCAATCATAGAATAGCAAAGAGGTCAGTGTCACTGGACCAAAGAGCATGATGTGTTGAGGAGTAAAGTGTAAGAAGACTGGAAAGGTAAGAGGCGGATTTTGAACATCAAGCAGAGGATTTTATATTTGATCCTAGAGGGAATAAGGAGCCAATGAAATTTATTGAATGGGGAAGGGTGTTTTGGTCAGACCTAAGCTTTAGGTAAGTCACTTTAGTGTCTGAGTGGAGAGACACTAGCCTGAGGGAGGGGGAGGATGGTGTTATATGGTAATAGGGAAAATAGGGGAGGAATTTAGAAGAGGAAGGATAAACAATGATTTGGATGGTCTAACTGTCTGGGCATCACTGAGATAGGAACTCCACCATCTTTATTACCTGGACTTGCTTCAAGAGAAAAAGCATTCCTAGAGGGAAGGAGTTAAGTGAGTAGCCGAAGGAAGTCAAGCCCAAGGGAAGGAGTAGCTCATCCACTGGAAGGTTAGAGAGTGACCAGAGTAAATGGCAAACTCCTGTTCACCAGAACATCACCACTCTACTGCTAGATATGTGAAGTATTATGTAAACCTTAAGGTGCTAAATAACTGTCATTTATTAATGTTAGCATGAGAGTATCCTCTGGTATTATAAAAGCCTGATTCTTGTCCTGAGTGTTTGAATCACCTTCAATACATTAGGCTCCCAGCAAAGCGTTCTTTGCTTCTGCACTGTAGCAAGAAAATCCTTGGCACAGATGTCTCTTTTTAATCAGCTGTTGTATACTAGGAAAGAATTGGGGCTGAAGATTGAATTCAGCTGAGGGTTCCTTTTTTCCACTCTAATTCCTTCCCATTTCCTTTCTCATTTAAATGTGGCATCCATTATATCTGTATTGCCCCTTCTCGTTTGGAAAGACATGGAGATTGGCATGTCTAGATTCTGGACAAACCTGGAAATCTAACCACCATCACCTACCAACCTTTATCCCTTCTCCCTTTCGTAGTCAAACTCCTTGAAAAGATCGACTGTATTGATTGCTTCTTTTGTCTCACCTCCCACTTTAGATTGTCTAATCCCACTTAGATTGTCTCTAACAATCTAGTTTTGATCCAGTCACTTCAGTGAAATTTCTTTCAACAAGTTTAGCAATGCTATCCACCACCTATTATGATGCTCTTTTCTCAATCCTCTTTCTACTTGTCTTTGATGTAGTTTTTTTTTTTAACTCTACTGGCTACCTCTTCTCTAGACTCTTTTCATCTGACATTGCTCTATTGTTTCTCCTCCTACCTGTTTAACCACTGCTATTTAATTTGCTAATTATTAGTTTTATCCAACCTACCAAGTCTGACTGTTCTGAGGCTCTGCCCTGAGCCATCCTCTCTCTATACACTCTCCCTTAGTAATTTCATCAACTTGCTTGAGCAGTAATCATCCCTATGCAGATTACTTCCATATCTACATATCCAGCTCTCATCTCTCTTCTGTCCTCCACTCCCATATTACCCACTCTGTTATATATTCCCACCTGGATACCCCATGGGCATCTTGAATTCAACATGTCTAATACTGCATGTCCAAATTTATATTTTTACCCCTAAAACCATCTCATTGCCTAACTTTCCTGTTTCTTTTGAGGGCACTGTCATTTCTCCAAACACCTCTCAGGTTCTGACCTCAGAATCAAGTGGGACATGGAGGCACAGGAGGAGGGATGCAGAAAGCCATTGGATTTAGCAATTAAGAGATTGTTGGTGAGCTTGAAAGAAGACATTTTAATCAAGCAGTAAGGTCAGAGGTCAGATTCTAACTTGCTGAGGAGGTGGGAGGTGAGAAAGTGAATGTGGACAGCTTTTTCTTTTCTTTTGTAAATTTTTTATTCATTTTAAACTTAAATACAAAATGAGAAAAGAAAAAAAATTTCCATTCCATGTACACAATAGAACATAAGAGAGGATTCAATATCAAACAATAAAATTCCATTTCAAGAAAACCTATATAATAAATACTACACATTGTTTTCAAAGCTGTTTAGCTTTTCTTTGCTTCCTTCTAGGTTTTCTTTTATTTTTTGCTACATACTTTTTACTTTATTTACTCCCCCTTCCCTAAAGGAAGCTACAGTTAAACTCATATACATGTATGTATCTATAAACATACACATATACACTCCTATACATATATGTAAGACTGTATTATGCATATTTCCACTTGTCATCTCATTCTCTGGAGGTGGATAGCATCTTCCTTCTTACGTCCAAATCTTTCCATATTTTTCTAAAGCAATCAGCTCATCATTTCCTACACGATTTCCTACACAGTTAATTCCTATCTGAGAGATTGTCTATGAAAGTTTCCCCCCCAATTTTCTGTATTCCTTCTATTCGTGGCTACATTGGTTTTACTTACACAGGAAATTTTTTATTTAAAATAATCAAAATTGTCCATTTTACACTTTAACAATGCTATCTCTTGTAATATAGTTTAAGGTGTAATACTGCTGAATCTCCTTCCCTTACAATTCTTTTTCCTTGGTTCCTTCATGAACAGCTTTTTCCAGGAGTTAGCCAAAAGGGAGAAGAAACATAGGATTATATCTTGAGGGGGGCAGGGTCAAGGGAAGGGTTTTTAAGGCTAAGGGCCACCTAAGCATATTTGATGGCAGCAATGAGTCAGTCAGTAAATAAGAAGTGATGAAAGATTGGGAGGAAGATGATCAATCCGTGTATCACAATCCCAAAAGAGACAGAAGTGGTTTGGATGGAGGGCACGAGAAGAGAGGGTTGGCCTCAGCAAGGAGAGTGTCCGCCTCTTCATCATGGACTGGATAAAAGGAGAAGAGAACAGAGGGGTAATACTGAGGGGTTTGAGGTACAAAATTGAGCAGATAATATGGAGGTAGGAGAGCTCTATTTTTTCTAAAATAAGAGGTAAGTTACTCTCCTGGAGTGGGTGGGAAGCAGTTGGTGGTGGTACAGGTGACTTGAGGAGAGAAGAGAAGAGAAGATTTGGAATAGGTGTGGGGGCTATGATATCAAGTCAATCAGGTGACCGTGCCTGTGTCTGAGGCGGAATGAAGAGCAAGGTCTGGAGAGTTCAGAAGGCTAATGAACTGGGAGACTATGGTATTTAAGAGGACATAGATCTGTATATTGAAGTCTCTAAGTAGAAGGTTGGAATGGAGATAAAGAATGATAGGTGGCTAGCGGATGGAGCGCCCTTACAGGGCAGTTGTGAGAATTGAGATAACCATGAAGTGCTATAGAAATGGAAGTGATCATGGCTTGAGCACGAGTCATTTTGACACAGATGAAGTTAGACCAGAAGGCCAAAGGCCACCCAAACATTGTACGGTTACGTAAACAAAAAGTCTAAGATAGAGGGCACTGTTCCTTCTCCACCACCACAGCTCTGAGAAGCACGTGATCCTGCTCAGGTTGTGCTGAAACATCTCCAGAGGAGCCGAGCGTGGCTGGGAGGCAGGCTGGAGCTCTCGCACGCAGAGCTTCAGCCCTGCCGCTCTGCTTCCATCGGCTGGTAAAAGGCCTCAGGAAAATGTGAGAAAATGATGCTTGTAAACATCTTCTCTTTCCTAGAGCACAAGGAAAGGAAACTGCTTCCCCTCCCCACCCCCACCCCCACCCCCAGGAGAATTCCTGCCTGGCCAATTAACCAACTCAGTGAAAATAAATGAAATCCACAGAGATCTGCCACCCTCTCCCCAATCCCTCAAGTCTGAATCACTCTCCTTCCCGACTGAATCATTTACCAAACTGGAGAAGCAGAATCCTGTAATTTAAAGAACTCAGGATTGGGAGAGTCGGGAAAATGTAGTTTTAGTGGAGTCTATGCTACTAGTTTGTTTTATGACCTTGGAAAAGTCATTTCCCTTCCCTTGGCCTCCATTTCCTCATCAATAAAATGGAAGTGTTGAACTACATAGACTCTTTAGGGATCTTGTAAGGGCTCACATTCTAGAAGTCCATAAATAAATTTAAACTAGATCTCCTTCTCTTTCCCTTGCTCCCTTATATCCTCTCTTATAGAGTATCCATGAATAGTAACTTGGCCAAATGTCCAGGAGGAAGAGGAGAGCCAGACAGTTTGTAAAGCCCTTCAAATCCTAACCCCTTTCTTCTTTCCCACTCTTCTTATGCTTTACTCCCTTCCAAGAAATCTATTGTCCAGTGACCTGGGCCTTCTGGCAGTTCTTCAAACACGAACCTCCCATCTCCTGACTCCTTGTCTTCTCACTGGCTGTCACCCTGGTCTAGAACGCTCTCCCTCCTCGTGTTTGCCTCCTGGCTTCCCTAACTTCAAGACCCAGCTTATTGACTGATGGATTGATGATCTGATGATATAGCCCCATGATGGAAAGTTAGCTGTTGTGTTTATTGAATATCCACTTGTTATATTATGAAAGTTAAAGGGGCAGCTAGGTGGCGCAGTGGATAGAGCACCAGCCCTGAAGTCAGGAGGACCTAAGTTCAAATCCAGCCTCAGACCAAACACTTGACACGTACTGGCTGTGTGACCCTGGGCAAGTCACTTAACCCCGATTGCCTCACTAAAAAAAAAAAAAAGTTAAACACTATTAGCACTTCTACTGTATAGAAGAGTTGGCTGGTCTATGCCTTCTGTCATAAATCCTTCTAGCTAGGGAACCTGCTCTGTTTATGGATAGGCCATGTATTTATGTGCTGTATATAATAACAATAGCTAGCATTTATACAGCACATTAAGGTTTACCAAGTATATCTATGTTATCTCATTTCACAATGACAGCTCTGGGAGGTCCTATTATTATCCTCATTTTTCAGATGAAGAAACTTAGACTGAGAGTGGTTAAGTGACTTGTCCAGGGTCACACAGCTGGTAATTTTCTGATGCAGGATTCAAACTCAGATCCTCCCAATTCTATCCACTGTACCACCTAACTATCATATTGGGAGCATCTTGCATGTATATCAAGAAAAATGTCCTGAAATGACTTTAGCACTTCACTGATCACTGCCCTTCCTTGAAGAATTATCACAGTGAAAGGAATGATTCAGGAGTAGTAGTCAGAATCCCCTTGCATGTGGGCCCCAGAAAACTACTCCTAGTTTCAGGTACTTTGTAAATCAGCATTTACACAAAGCAATAGCTCTACCTTTATTAGCTATTCTCTTCCTCTTCCTTGCCTTTCTCCTCCTCCTACTAAATAATATTTGTAAAGTATATTAATGCAGTGTTTTTATAGAGATTTTACATATATTATCTCATTTGAGCTTCACAACAACCCTGTGAAGACAGGACTGAAAATGCATTAGTTCCAAGAGAAATACAATTTATTTAATCAAATGGCATAGCAAAACAAGGGAGAAGAAAGATTTCCTCTTTGCCCAAAAGGGTATACCATCCACAAGTTACTATATTACTAGTTGGGAAAGGACAGGGGCAGGGAACTTAAGTGACCAGAAGACATATTTTAAATTTTTTTTTTTTAGGCAATTGGGGTTAAGTGACCTGCCCAGGGTCACACAGCTAGTACCTGTGTCAAGTGTTTAGTCTGAGTCCGCATTTGAACTCAGGTCCTCCTAACTTCAGGGCCTGTGCTCTATCCACTATGCTACCTAGCTGCCCCAGAAGACATATTTAGAGGTCTACACACATAGGGAACAAAGGTGGCCAGAGAATATGCATGAAAAGGTATGGGCATAGAACACACATGGGTGGGGCAACTCATGACATTTTCAAGACACCAATGCCCTCTTGCTGTTACTGAGGGGAAACAATTTAATGGCAACTGGCAAAATACTAGATACATTCTAGCATTTCAACTTGAAAAGTAACAATTAACTGGGCAAAAATATTTGTATCAAATATCTCTGATATATCACACTAATAAGCATTTAATAAACACCTACTCTGTGCCAGGTACTGTGTGCCAAGGGCTTGGGGGACAAAGAAAAGCTAAAAGTCTCTGGTCTCAAGGAGCTCATTCCAATGAGGAAGACACATAACAACTATACATAAAAAAGACATATGCAGGGGGGCCGCTAGGTGTCACAGTGGATAGAGCACCGGCCCTGGAGTCAGGAGGACCTGAGTTCAAATCTGCTCTCACACGAGACACTTAACACATACTAACTGTGTGACCCTGGGAAAGTCACTTAACCCCAATTACCTCATCATTAAAAGAAAATAAAGAAGGTATATACATTATAAATGGGTAATCTCAAGCGGAAGGCAATAATAGCATTCTAAAGCTTCTTTTAAGTCCCAACTAAAATTCTAAAACTCCACTTTCTACAGGGAGTCTTCCCTAACGCCTCTTAATTGTAGTGCTTTCTGCCTTTTAAGCAGTTCCTATTTATCCTTGTATATATTTGTTTGCACGTAGTCTCTCTCCCCCATTAGATAGTAAGCCTCTTGAGGGCAGGGGCTCTCTGCCTCTTTCTGTATCCCCAGCGCTTAGTCCAGTGCCCGGCACATAGTACGGCGTCCTACAAATGTTTACTGAACTGAATATCCGATACACAACTAACCTCTATAGGGGTCAAAGGATGGGAACCAACAGTTCCCCAAAGAAATGTAAACCAATCTACGGGGTCAAAGACGGCCCCTGACTTTAAGGGGGAGAGCTGGCATCGCCAATTAACCCCTGGACCCTTCACATTCGGAGCCCCGAGGAGTATGCGGGGGCACAACCAAGTTGAGTCACAGAATACGTCAGAGGATGGACGTCTGTCTCCCTAGAGATTGGCGCAGGTTGGTTACCATGGCAACCTCCTCTTCAGGAACCCAGCACCCGGAAGGAAATGGACAGGAATGGTCCTGTCTTACGCTCCTTAGCCGTAAAACCCTGAAGAAGAAGAAGCACATCCGGCGCAAGCTTGGCTTTCTTATTGGCTGGAGGCCGGGAGGGGCGGGTCTTCGTTCTCGCGCGAGAGCTTCGGTCTGGAGCTTTGCGAGTTCCTCCCCTTTCTCTTTCAGGAAGAGGCGGGCCGTGCGCATGCTCACTCTGAGGAGACGTGGAAGCTGAAGCTGGGGTTGTGGGAAGACCTCCGGAGCTGGAAGAACCCTGGACTGGTGCGAGGTGCGCGCTGTGCCCCGTGAGGGGAAGGGGACCAGGCTAGGTAGTGGCTCTTGTTGTCTTTGAGGGCCGCGTGACTCAGGCCTGGAGTTCGTCCTTACCCGGCCCGGGGCGGCCTCGTGACTGAGGGCAGCGGCCCAGCGTAGAGCGGAGTGGTCCTCGAGTCCCCGCCCCCCGGCTTTGGGGCCTGCCTGGCCCACTGCTTCTCACGCCGGCTGGGCTTGCGGCTCCGAACGGGCTTCTTCCCGCTAGGCCTTCATTTATTCGTCTAGCAAGCACTTACAAAGCGCTTTCTGCGTGCGGGAGGGGTGAGGGGAGAGGGACGAATCAGCGAGCATTATTAAGCGCCTGTTGTGTACCGGGCACCGTACTAAGGTGGAGGCATGGGAGGAAATGCACAAACAGTCGCTGCCCTCCGAGAACTAGCATTCTAATGGAGGACACAACATGGGGGGTGGGGTGTGAACCTAATGTACGAACTATTATAGCTTCACTGTTGCTTTATATAGAAACAAGATATGTATGTGGCTTCCATCTGTTATTTATCTATATACATGTACGCATATATTTTGTATGGTTTTTTCCACGTCTCCTCTAGAGTGTGTGTGGGTGTATTTTGCGTATTTGTATTGACGGTAAGCAAGAGGGAAGCTATGTGGATTAAGGGGGCTCGGTATTAGGCTTCTGGTAGAACGTAGGTTTGTGGTGGGCAGTGCACAAGGGGTCGCGACCCACAGTTTAAGAAGTGTTGAAGGGGTCGCGAGTGGAAAAAGTTTAAGCTACCCTACACTAGAGAGAGAGACCAGTTATTCCTGGGGGAGAAGTGTCAGGAGATAATCCAGGCAAATGGTTACTATATATTGGAGGAAGAGATTACTTTCACCTGGAGTCGAGTTAAGGTCAACTAAGGTTTCCTTAATTTTTGTTGTATCAAATTTAATCCCGGCCCTCCCAGGGGCTATTCCCTAGTTTGACATAGCAGGCGTTTGCCTTAATCTGACCAGCGGACTGAGAGAAGGTGCTGTGTACCGTTTTATAGTTCTTTTCCCAAATTAAAAAACTAAGGTGAGAGAAAGAAAGCTCAGTGTGTGTGTGTTTGTTTAGCCCAAAAGGAAATAGAACCCAGGTTTCTTGACTTCAGTCCCATGCTCTTTCCATGATGCAGGCTACCTCTTAATATCTTGTTTGAAATCAGGGACCCTGTGATAAACTTTACTTGGAAGAACACATACACACACATATAAATAGTAGAGCTGACCAGAATGTGGAACTTGTGAAAGAAATGAAGGCACACAGGTTACAGGTGTCTTCCCCAGTCTAGAGTAGTTTTTGATACAGTCTAATATCTTTCTGGTAGTCAGCAAGTATTTATTAAACATCTTTTATGTGTCAGGTGCTAGGCTTTGGCAATACAGGGAGGCAAAAACAATCCCCTTCTCTCAGGAAATTAGTGGAAAGAAAGAGATTAAGAGCAGTTAAATTGGGGCAGCTAGGTGGCTCAGTGGATACAGTACCGGACCTGAAGTCACGAGGACCTGAGTTTCAAATGTGGCCTCAGACCAAACACTTGACACTTACTAGCTGTGTGACCCTGGGCCAGTCACTTAACCCCAATTGCCTTTAAAAAAAAAAAAAGTAGTTAAATGTCTACTGCTTTTATTATAAGTACTTGGAGTAGTGTTAGATATTTATGCAGAGAAGCAAACATTTTTCATTTTGCTCATAAATTTGTGTAGCATGCTGCAGTTTATAATTTAGATTTCAAATCACATTTTCTGTGACTGATGATATTGATTGCAGTTTTTATTATCCTTGAAAGAGTGATATAAGTTTCAATGAAAGTAATACCATATTGCTTTAGAGGTGTCTTAAACAGATTAGTGGAATGGCTATAAAAATAGGACTTTTAAAAATTTGGTAATTCCTGAATAAGACAACAAACAAGATTTATTTGCTGAAAACATTTATTTTAAATAAGGGCTCCCAATTAATGTTAATTTTCTTTAATAGTTTTGGTGTCAAAGAACATTCAAGATGGCTGCAGCATCAGGGAAGGGATCTATACGAAAAGCAAAATCATTTACTATAAAGACATCGCTAAATAACCCATATGCTATCAACTGGAGTGCTCTGGAAAGAGAAGATATGCACTTCATATTACAGACACTGGAAGAAAGATTTAAACATGTTGGACTAAAAAAGATTGAGAATCCAAAGAAGAAAAAACGGCCTTTTTCAAAAAGACAAACCAAAGAAAAAGGTGCTGTTGATAATGAAGAAGTTCCAAAGAAAAAAGAAACAGAAATTAGCCAGAAAGTACCAGGATGGACTCCTGTACATATCAGGAAACAACTTGCTATTGGGATTAATGAAGTTACCAGAGCTCTTGAGAAAAATGAACTTCATTTAGTCCTAGTGTGCAAATCTGTCAAACCCGCTATGATGACCTCCCACCTGATTCAGTTGAGCGTCAGCAGAGCTGTACCAGCTTGCCAGGTTCCTCGCCTTAGTGAAAGCATTGCACCTGTTATTGGTTTAAAGTGTGTTCTAGCTCTGGGTTTCAAAAAAAACACCGAAGCCTTTGTTGATGAACTAAAAGCTATAATTCCCAGGGTACCTAGTTTACATGTGCCATGGCTTCAAGACAACACTAAAGATTCCCTGGAAGATACAGAAGGTGAAACTTTGGAAATCCAAGATCCAAGTGTTTTAGAAACCTCCTTTGAAGAGCTTACTAAAAATAAGCGAAAACTTGTTGAATGTCAGCAAGATACTTCTGCTGTAACTTTACAGCCCCTAAAAATAAAGAAACTGATTCCAAATCCCAATAAGATAAGGAAACCACCAAAAAATAAAAAAACTACTTTAAAATAACATGTGAAACATAATTTGTAAAGCATTTTTCCATAATTAAAATTAATTTCAAAAAATGAATTACTTTTACATGTGTCCTTGCTATATTGTTAAATGTTCCTTGTAAAAAAATGTAACTTCAGGGCACAAACATGTCTAGGTTTAAACCAATATTTAAACGCATCAGTTATTAAAAAACCTGAGTATAAAAACAAAAATTTATTAAAATAAAAGTTCAAACTGATATAAATTCATTTAAGAGGCCAGTAAGATGCTGGTTTGTGAGAACATCTGTATTTCATCATACTTATCTTCCTATCAAAATCATTCTGCCACAGCAGACATTGTTCTTAATCATAGTGCAGATGAAACTGGATTATAGCTGCATTCTTATCTAACGTATTCAGCTAAAGAAAACTGGACCACAAATGGTCTTCTGGAAACAATCCACTTATTTTTGAAATTTGGGCTATCAATTTATAGAATTTAACTGATAAAGGGAATCGGTTGTCATAATTCACGCTTTGTACATGAATGTCTTAAAGTGGTTGCCTGTTTTCTCCCTCTATTACACTTCTTGAGGTGGATTCATTTTTGTCGACTTAGGCTTACATTTCATTGTAGAACACATACTCTACTCGTCGATGATTCTCTGGGAGACAGTGGGTTTATGTTACATAATTCAGGGAAGGATGGGAAAGCTAGACTTTATATTGCCAGAGCTAATTTCTTGGTCTAATTCTAGTCATTTTACACAAAGTATGGCACCTTTGTATATTCTAGATGGGAGAAGGATTAATATTTTTAAATAGGAATTTTAGTTTAAAAATAAAGTGAAAGATTCCCAACGCCATAATCTTAAATATATGAAAAATACATTTCCCATGGTATTCAGGAGATAATAATTGTTTTTGTTGCTGCGACTGTTATCTCTGGAGCAGGGGTTCATAACCCTGGGCCTATACACTTTAAAAATTTTTTTTTGCTAACTTTCAATGTAATTTATTTCCTTTGTAATCTTATATATTTTATTCTATATATTTAAAAATTCCCAGAAGGGGTCCCGTAAGCTTTGTCACACTCCCAGAGGGGTCCATGACACAAAGGTTAAGAACACCTGGCTTTTCAGGATTTTAAGAAGGGAGCTGATATGTATTTTCTTATTGTTGGTTTATTTTCACTAGTGGAAAAACTGAAATATCCAATGACATTTGGATAAATGATGGCTGAATAAATTATGATATTAATGTAATGAAATACTATGCCAAAGAAATGACAAGTACAAAAAGAAATGAGGCAGATATTGGTTGGCAAACTAATGTTCTATAATTGTATTGAGGAAAAAAAAGGCCACAAAACTAATTACACAGGTGAATACAGAAGGGGACACATAAGTTGTTTGAATTTTGATGTTCTACTTGGAGGTCTACTCTTGTATTTGTTGAGAGGATTTATTAATAATAAATCTCAAAGGTGCTTCTCAGCTAGAAATAATTTTTGGTTTTAATAGAGCAGAGCATTTTGGAATTATGTGTTTTCAGGATAGTGCGGTAGTTTCTTAAATTTTATAAAATACATGGTAATAACTTTTTATGCCTGGCTCTCATTGATTAACTGTGTAGCCATGGTAGGTCACTTAACCTCTTAGTCTCTGCATTGGTTGAAGGAATTGCATTACATGCTGACTCTAAGTAGGTCTAAAGTTCCATGAATTCCAATCTAATTTTTTTTTTAACTGAACATATGGGTAGTTTTACACAAAGTTTCTTTTGGCATGTTTACTGATAACATATTTAAATTGTACAGAGGGATGGGATGGACGCGAATGTCCTATTGCAAAGGGTAGAGCAAGTGCTTGATTTTGAAATAGCATAAAGTTAAGAGGGTCAAAATACTGTAATTGAGTCAGTAAAAGTGGGATAGTTTTACCTTAAAATAAGTTAATGCCAAAATTTCAGAATGTCAAATAGATTTTTTTTAAAGTCCTCAAAAATAACTTTTTTTTTAGCTTACATTTTTAGGATCTCCAATAAAGTCCTTTCCCTAAATTAAAATATTTTATGGTCAAAGTGGTTGTTGGTCAAAACATTTTTTTTTGTTGGTTGATTCTCTGGCTTTTTGAAGCCTTCTCTCCACCATGAATGAGAACACCTTCCTCTCTGTTGTGAAAAGGATATATTGTAACTGTATAAAAGAGATCCCCTGGGGGTAGTGTTTGAGAGAAATGCAACTCCAGTGATATAGACTGTCCCAAAAAGTTTTAGTGCAGAATTAATCTAATAGTTTTAAACTGCACTGAGACTTTTGGGACACGGTTATAATGAACTTTAATAGTTTAAAATAGCACTAAAACTTTTAGGAACCCCGTCAGCTATTAAACTGCATATAAGCATCCCTATGGGCCTGACTTAGAAAACCTCATTAACATTACCTATTCTCTACTGTATTTTTATTTATTTTGTTAAATGTTTCCTAATTACATTTTAATCCAGTTCTGGCCACAGGCAGGAGTGTTGCAGGTGTGTGCCTACACAAACCCAATAGTCCAATAAACGCCCTCTAGTGGTAGGTTTAGAAATCACATGTTCTTATCGGTTCTCAACTAGCATAAGAGTTGCAGGCCCCTCAGCTTGTTTTCATACCATACCAAGTGGAAAAGTTATTTTAATTTCTCTTACTTTTTATCAAGAGGAATGTCATCACGTAGTTGTAAATAATTGTGAAATGAAGAGTAGAAACTACACTTATTGTAAAGAAAGGTGAAAGAACGTACTTCTGTGGCATTTAAGTTAAGGCCAATTTACAAGGCCTCATTTAGCAGCTCCCTCTCTTCTGAATATTGGCAATATATATATATATATTATATACACATATATATTATACAGTGAAACCTTGCTTCAAACTCTGGATAAAAACACCATCAGTAACAAAATTATGAATACTTATTTACAAATAAGATATTTTCATTAGAATGACAGATGTCATGATAAAGTTGGTATAAAGGAACTTGTGCAATTTTGCATAAGCAATGGAAACATTCAAACTATCAATGTCCTGATAGCATTAATAAATTCCACTGGGGATTTTCTTTTAGTTTGGCATCCTTCCCTCACATTGCCTTGAGGAAAAAAAATCTAAAGCTGGACAGCAGCTGTAACATAGAGTAATAAGTGTATGATCTTTCAGACAGCACATGTAATGATTGTACCAAACAGTTCAGTGCTACTGGTTCAACCCACTGGTCCTTCGAAGAGTAAAGTATAAATCTGTGTCTTTATTGACTTGGCAGCATTGCTTACTGGATAAAAAAATGTACCAGAAAACCCAGTACATTTTTATACTGCTCCATACTTAAAAAAACAATTACCAAGACTTCTCACTTGAGCTACAAAAGTATTGGCCTCCATAAATCTGCCCAAATAATATCCATGTGAAATGAATAAGCAAAAATATTCAGAATGAATCTGTCATTCTGTAACACTGACAAACATTACCACTTAATAAATAGAAATGCAGCAGTTTATCTGTATTAGCAAAGATCTTCTGACATTAATCCATTGCTGCAGTTCAGTTTGTATAAAAACAGTTCATTTTCTACAGTGGAAAAATACCTTCTCTTTGTCAAGAGGCAATCAAAGGTCTGAAAATAAGAGGAATGTGCTCTTTGTACCTTTCTTCCCCTACTCACTCCCAGCAATGGACTGTAAAAGTTGGATGAATTTTTTGTTTGAAAATAGCCAAAAATAAGTAAAATTGGTCAGGTATGGATTTTCTTCAGATTTTCAGATTTTATAGATCACTTTGATTTCACTTAAGTTGTGCTTTTATTCTTTGGAACAGTGGTTCCGGGATTTGTTAAATAGAACATCAACTCAAATGATGACTGCAGAGTTCTAGAAATGAAAAAGTCCTCCTACTGTAAAACAAGACCAACCTAAAGGAAGGGGAGAAATGGAGTAGTCAGAACAGAGAGTAATAGTAATACCATTCATAATAGCACTTAACCATATGCTGGCTCTGTGCTGAGCACCTTACAATTATCTCAGCTGATCCTCTCAACACCCTTGTTATTCCTGAGGCAGACAGAAGTTAAGTGACTTGCCCAGGGTCACAGTGTTAGTAAATGTCAATTTGAATTCGGGTCTTCCTGACTCCAGGCTCTGCACTCTATCTACTAGACCACCCAGTTGCACAAGCAAGCAAACCAATATTCATAGCAGATGGGGAAAGCATTTCATTTTTAAAGGTATGTAAAACTCAATATTAAAAATATCTTCTAAAAAGAATCAAAGAAAATTTATTAACTTAAACCAATTGAAATTTATCCTAGTTTCCACTTACCTTTTCAGATTCTGTTCCTGGACACCGCCAGTTGTACAAATAATATTGCAAATTACCATCTCCTATACCAAACTTGAGTTTTTCTAGGAATGTTTTATTTTCCATCAAATCTAGTGCATTGAACACATCAAATCCTTTCTGCCAATTAAAAAAAAACCATTTTTAAATTAAAATTTCAAAGTATTAGGGCTTTGTGTGTTAAGATACAAATATTATAATAAGTTCCTTATTTGATACTGCCCTCAAATTTGGATTTGCATTTACAATTCTAAATACACAGTGATGTCCATAAGAAGTGGATTTTCAAGTCTGAATTTGAAAAATGTTTTATTCAGAACTGTCAGTAGTTGAGTCATCATGCCTAATGCCTTAAATGATCTTTGCTAAGAAGATACAGCAAGAATATCCAAGACTAGTGAGCCAGGAAAATTAGACCAGCAGACTGCTTTTTAGATGAAAATTGACATGGTAACATTATTTGTGAAAGCATGTGTTTTTAGGAGAATGTTGTCTAAATACTGCATTGGTTCAAATGTAGATTGCCTTTCCCCACCCCAAATCTGGTCTTTAGAAAAACCTTACTTTGGATTTTTTCAATGCATACCTATATGTACATACTTTTCTCTTTCAAGGACATCTCATTTTAGAGAGACAATCAAAGTGGCTCACATTTGGACCAATGTAGTTGCCCATTCTCGGGATTTCTAAGTACTGAACTCTGGGTTCTGACCATCTGAAAAGGAATACAAAATTCTAACAATTTCACGTAGATTGGTGTATTGAACACAAATGTTAACAAGTTATACAACTCCTATCTTGGCCTGACAGGAGTCGAATTCTAGTTTTGAAAATTAAGTTTTAGGACATTATCCACTTCTATATGGACTAAAAAATTGGTGACTCAGGGCTTGGATGAAATATTTAATTTTCCATTTCAGTGTTGTTATGTGAATGACTTTCTGCCACTGCAGCAACTGAAATCAGAACATAGCATAAGTGACGTTGATTGGCTAGGCTCTTTTTAGCTCAGTTTTTGTTTGGTTCAAGAAAGACAAAACTTTATTACCAAAGCTCAGAAAAACTCATGGAATTCTGTTTCAACACACACCATAAACTGTTTTGCCACATTTACTTGTTCTGTTACAATGCTTTGGACTTCTTGGTTATTTGTTTAGAAGACTATGTCTCCCTATCCTATCCTGGCTGAAAGTGAACAGTCACTGTTAGACTTACTTATCAGTACAGGATATTGGATCTGCTCTGTTTCAGATGGCTGGCCAGCCTGCCCCCCTGCTCCTGGAGGATCATTACATCGGTGCCAGATTTAGTGAGGATACCCAGTTGGCTTTTGCTCAGCTGCAGCTCAGAACTCTAACTCAAGCTTTCCATCAGCCTGAGCCTACCCCAGTGGCAGGGATTAGGGGCATGTGCCTGTGGTTTGAAGCAAGTTCCCAACAGATCCTAACTTCTGGCTTGAGAAGCTTAGAATGTTAACACAGAATATCGTCAGGTAAATTGAGATTTTCCTTATTTGATCAGATATCTGACCCAAGGAGCTTCTTTTTACAAATCCTCTTAGTTTTCCAGCCTCGTTAATATCCCACTGTTTTCACTGTTGTGCTATTTCATAAATCAGAGATAAATGATAATCATGTTGAGATTTTTCTTTTGAGATAATTGTGATGTTTAGAAAGATAATAACCACTAAAGGTTCTGGGGAAACTCTTGTCAAAATATTGAGATGTTTTTAGTTTTACCATCTGTGTAAGAAAGTTTTTGGCAAATACATATTGAAGAAAAAGTTGCTTACCAATTTAGCTATAATGAGTGCATCATTCATTAGGTCCAGCAGTGGAGTCTCAGTATGAATGTTATAGAAGGAATAAGCAGCTTTTAGGCTTTTGTGAACAGGGTGATGCATGACAGTGGAAGGTAGCGTGTAGAAGCTCAGGAAGTCAGTTAACGCACCGCTTGAGCACTAAAAAACAAAACAGATGTGAGCTGTGAAGTATGAACCCCCCCATCCTCCCACTAATCTAACAATTTAAATTGGACAAGTGCTTTTGTCACATAAACCTCAGATATGAACCCCCATTTTGTAATAAGGAGACAGACTTTATTTAAGAAGATAAGTGACTTGCCCATCATAGCCTCTTTCTACCTTGCCAGTCTGATTTTCCATTACTCCTTCCTTCTACCATCTCACCAGACTGGCCTGGCTATGCCTTACGAGCGATCGTCCACCTGCTGCCTCTGATACTTGGCACTGGCTGTTTTCCACGTGTGGAACGGCCATTCTTTCTCCCTTCTGCATCAGAGAATTCCGTAATCTCTTCAAGACTCAGTTCCACGATGCAGTTCTTCACAAAATCTTTCCTGCTTTTTGAGGCAGGAACTGTTTTTGCTGTGTTGACTACACATTCCCATCCTCAGTAGAATAGCTAACAATAATAATCATTTACATAGCGCCTTAAGGTTTACAAAATGCTTTATGTATGTTAACTTATTTGATCCCTCAACAGCCCTGTGAGGTAGGTGCTATTATCCCTATTTTATGGATGAGGAAACTAAATCAGAGGTTAAGTGACTTACCCTGGGCCACACAGTTAGTAAGTGTTGAGGATGTATTTGAATTCAGGTTTTCCTGACTCCAGGTCCAGCACTCTCTACTATGCTGCTTGACTGCTTATATAAGCAGGCAGGGACAGCTTTTTTTTCTTTATATTTCCAGCATCTGGCACTTAAATATTTTATTGATTGTCCATGATCACACAGATATTAAAGTACCTGAGACAGGATTTGAACCCAGGTCTTTTGACTCCCAAGTCCTGCGGGCTTGCCCCAGGCCACCCTACCTTTGTGAAGTGGACTTATTTTGTTAACCTGTTTTTTTCATGAATGTCCAGGTTTAATTTGCATTACATCTTTAGGATGAGACACTGGTAAAGGTAGGATTCATACAACACTACTTCCCAACTGGGATTAGGAGGGTCCACTGCATTTTTGATAGGATGTGGGATTGAATTCATTGCCAGTTTAAACCTGCAATTTATATAGATTTCAGGAAGGTAAAACTTTTGAAGTGAAAACTTCCTGGGAATGATTTCTGGAAGCAATAACCAGCACTCCAAAGCAGCACTGATGAAAGCAGCGCACTAACTACCAATAGAACCGTCATTGTATATTTTAGAATGAGACCTCTTTGGAGCACCGGCCCTAAAATCAGGAGGACCTGAGTTCAAATCTGGCCTCAGACCAAACACTTGACACTTACTGGCTGTGTGAGCCTGGGCAAGTCACTTAACCCCAATTGCCTAAAAAAGAAAAAAAAATGTACAAAAAAAAGAATAAGAGCTATTTAAGAGAGAACTTTTTATTTCCCCAGGTGTGCTAGGCAATGTAACACTGATCCATGCTTCTCCCTTGACCTTGCCTAATTTGTTTTGTTAGAGATTTTCTTTTGCTTTTTGTTAAATAAGCCTATTTCAGCCTTCAAGCTGAAGGAAAGCAAAATTCATAATTCTTCCTGTTTAACAGAGATACTTTACTGTTGTTCAGTGGTTTCAGTCATGTCTGATTCTTTGTGACGCCATTTGGGGTTTTCTTGGCAAAGATACTGGAGTGGTTTGCCATTTCCTTCTCCAGCTCATTTTACAGATGAGGAAACTGAGACAAACAGGGTGAAGTGACTTGCCCAGTCTCACACAGCTAGGAAGTCTCTGAGGCTGTGAATTTGAACTCGGGTCTTCCTGTCTCCAGTACTGGAACCCTATCCACTGCACCACCTACCTGTCCCATATTTTTCTAGCAATTATGAAAAGAAGATTCTTTGGTTGGTATAAGTATTATACAAATGAATTTCTTGTACACTCTTAACATATGTTTTATTGTTATATTATTTTAGTCAGAAGAACATTGTGTTAGGATTGGGAAACAGGTTTTTGTTTAAAAAAAAATGCTCCCAGAGGTTTCTTGTTTATCTTTTGACTTCGAATTCCTAAGTATGACAAAAGCTATGAACTCACAAGTAAAAGTGCATATCTGAAAAATCCCTCCTTCCTGTTTTGTGCTTAATAGCAGATAAACATTTCTTTCACATTCACATCCAAAGAGTGCTATAAAATTACATTTTGAGTTTTCTCTTTGGTATAGATATTGAAGTGGAGAAAATTAATATCAGTCTTAGGAAGTGACGTCTCTTCTGTAAATAAGGAAAGAACAAAGTCCCCCACCACCCAAACAAAACTGAGAGTACCTGCCCTAAACTAAGAAATGCTTGAGAGGCCCATCCTCAAAAACATTGTTTTTGCCCATTTAAGACCAAGTACCCAGCCATCGTCGTGAACTCTAAGGCGCAATTCCAGTAAATTTGGCTTCAGATTCTTAAGTTCTGTGCATAAGTGATTATTATTTTTTTTTGTTGTTGTTGTTCTGGTATGGTATAACTACTACCACAAAAGGAATTCATTTAGAGAGTTATTTGCTAAGTGGTGGGGAAATAAATGCCCCAAACCCCAATTCAAAGATACATCATTTTCCTTCTGTCTGTTGATTTTCCAATGAAATGCCACAAAAAGATAAAACAGCAAGGAATTCAAAAACCCTAGAAATATTTGGACATATTTACATTTTTTTGATGATTTAGAAATCTGGAGAATGAGGAAAAAACTTTGCTAATGTTTTATATAGGAAACAGAATTAGGATCCGATTAACCCACTTTAGAGAGCATCCTTTTTTCTTCTTTACCATCTTTCAACCTCTTTGGCTTATTAAACACTTCCCTGAAGTATGGAAAGGAAAGCTATTAAATTCAGAGTATCCTGTCCTTTGATCTGAGGTGGAAACTTCAGATTTAGAGAATATTAGAGGTGGAAAGAATCATCATCTAGTTCATTTCCATTGTTTTATAGGTAGAAAAAGGAGGTCAGAGAGGTGAAGTCACTTGCCTAAGATCACACTAATTAATGGCAGAACTAGGACTAGAAATCAGATCTTTTAACTTAAAAGACCAAGAAAGACTATTGGAAAGGGAAAGTTATTTTTCTTCATGCAGCCTACATTTCAGCCAAACTCTTGAGTTCTTCCTTGCGTTCCCCAAGCCATTCTCATACCTTCAAGTGTTTGCAAAAGCTGTCTTCCACGCTTATGTCTTTATCTTGACCTTTCAGATTCAATACTGGACCCCTTTCAAGACTTAATTCAGATGCCACTTCCTCAGTGAAGTCTTTTCCCTAATGACTCTAGTTATTAGTGAACTAACTGTTTCTGAACATCACTAAAAATTTTTGTCTAATCTCTCCTTTCCCCTCTTCATTCCCTACCTTGTATTATATTTATACGTGTACTCTTCTATACTGGGTATAGGTACAACGTAATCTCATTGAAGGCTGTTAACAACCATTGCTTATCCTACTATTCCTAGTGCCTTGCACTGGCAAGCAATACTTATTAAAAGACTTGCCAAGAAGACAGAACAAGCCAAAGTGATACTTGAATTCAGGTCTTCCTGTCTCTGAGGCTGGCTTTCTATCCATCACACCATACTATCTGTGACCACATCTTTTAAAAATGCAGTGGGATTCATGGAAGAAGAGAAAAAATGTGTAAGGCATGGGATCTTCCAAGAAACACGTTTCAAATATTTTGAAGTATGTGAAATTGGGGAAAACTGCTTAATCGTGGATAGGACAGTAGCTATGGATCCAAAAGGCAGTCAGCAAGATAAAACAACGGGCTAGAATTAGCAAGGTGAAATTTAGCAGCGATAAAGGTTAAAGTCCTTCATTTTCATTTTTAAAAAATTAAAAGATTTGGAAGACATGGCTAGAAAGCAGCAGCTCACAGGAAAGATACCTAGCTTCCCTTGATGAATTAAAGTCACCAGATCCAAATGAAATAATTGGTGAATGTGATCACTGAGCCACTGCCATGGACCTCTGAAAGATGCTGGAGAACAGAGGAGGTGCTGAAGGGCTGCAGAAAGGCAAACATCCTGCCTTCCACAAGAGGGAAGAGAGTGGAGTCTGCACGTTACAATTGAAGCTTGACTTCAGTTCTTGGTTAAATTTTATAACATCAAAGGAGACAAAACACCACTGTATAACAGGCCAAGTCACATTAACTTCATTTCCTTTTTTTTTTTTTTTTTTTAAACAGGAGTACTTGTTTAGTAGATCAGGAGGAGTTCTTAACCTGCAGTCCCCAAATGGGATCCACTGATGAATTTTCATGGAGTTCTTGAGCAAGGGAGGAAAAAATAACACCTCTATTTTCATTAGTCTCTGACTTCAACGTAGCACTTTCTTCAGTTGTTTAAAAATGTTATTCTGAGAATATGTCCACTGGTTTCACCGGATAGGCAAAAGGGTCTATGACACGAGAAAGGTTAAGAACTACTGTAGATAATAGTTTACCTGGATTTTAGCCAAGCTGTTCTTATGGACAGAATAGAGTGATATAGTCCATACAATAGTAATAATAATAGTATTTAATAATATTAAATAATAATGGCTAACATAGCACCTACCAGGTGCCAGGCACTGTGCTAAATGCTTTATAAATACTTCATTTGGCCCTTCAACAATCCTGCAAGGTGGCTGCTGTTATCCCTATTTTATAGATGAGAAAATGATGCAGACTGAGATGAAGTGACTTGCCCAAGGTCACAGAGCTAATAAGTGTCTGAAGCCACATTTGAACTCAGCACTCTATCCACTGTGTCACCTAGCTGAGGCCAGGAACCAGTTTTCATCTTCAATCCCCAATACCCTGCATATAGTAAGCACTTACTAAAAGCTTATTCAATTAGTAGTCTAAAGAATTTACAAAAGATGGTCTTTTCATGCAAATTTAAAGTTTCTTACAGATATACAATACAGGTATTTTGTTTGTTCGTACAAAGTCTTTAAAGTGATGAAAATGTATAGATGAGTAATATCAATTTCATGCTGAGGCAAACAGAAGTTAAGTGATTTGCTCAGGGTCACACAGGTAATAAGTATGGGAGTATCTACTATGTGCTAGGTATTGTGCTGTATGTTTTTATAAACACTTCATTTGATCTTGACAAGTACAAGATGGAGAGGTGTGTCTAGATAAGCTCATCTCAAAAAGATCTAGGATTTTTAGTGACTTGCATGCTCAGTCTATGGCAATGTGATCTATATGGCAACCTGTGTGTGTATGTATATATATGTATTTTTTCCCCAGCTGTATTTAACAGGCATGGTGTCCAGTAGTGTGGAGATAATGGTCTTGTTCAGTTCTCTGTACTCTATTTTAGGAAGGGCATTGATGTCCGTTGGAATGTGACCAAGATGGTAAAGGACCTTGAGATGATGCTCTATAAAATCAGGAAAAGGGGATGTTTAGCCTGGAGATGAATGTTGACATGAAAGCTGTCCTCCAGGACTTCAGGGTTGTCGTGTGGGAGGGCAGAATTAGAGAAGTCGTGGTTATAAGAACAACAGGGCACCTTTAGGTTTGATAAACTTCCTAACAATTAGAGCAATTCCAAAATGCAGTGAGCTCCTGAGAAGCTGGTATGGAGGGCTCTTTTTTAGATTTGCATTGGACTAGACCTCCTCTGAGGTCCTGTTCTGACCCTGGGGTTCTGAGACTTCGAGCCCCAGGAATCTATGTGGTGTGGCAGCCGAAAATGCAGATGGGATCTGAGGCTTTGGTAACAGAATTACGACAGTAATGGTTTTGTTTCTGACCTGCAGCTCAGGTCAGACTGTGTATATCTTAACAAGGATGTTGACTGTGTTGAGAGGAAGTTAACCAGGATCTAGAGGTGACATAGACCTTAGGTAAGTCACTTAACTCTGGCTTCAGTTTCTTCATTTGTAAACTAAGGGGTTGGATGGGATAACCTCTAAGCTTCCTTCTAGCTGAGGATCAGAGATTTAAAGTGATACAGGGATTGATTTAAAAGAACAGGGAAGTTCAGCCTGAAGAAGTCTTCATACTCGTGGGGAACATGATATTTATCTTCAGCTATCTGAAGGACAGTTATAAGGAAGAGGTACTGACCAATATGTTGACCAGGTTCCAGGGAGGCAGATTTTACCTCAAGATCCCAATTGGAGCTGTCCGGTAATAGAATTGGCACAGAGGCAATGGGTCTCCCTATACCAAGAAGTATTCACTTAAACTGTTGTGGAGGGTGCTCTTGCTTTAGGTTGGGGTTAGCTTATACCGTGCCCTTGAAGGTCCCTAGCTCTGAGGTTTGAGGATGTTCAAACTTCTGCTAATCACCTTATCTTTACCTCTACTACAAATGTGTCGATAATATGATCCTGAGGCAGAAACCAATGGGCCACTTCCTCTTCATTCATCACTGGGGCAAGATGAAACTGCTTCAGATAGTTGTTAATTAATTCTTTCACAGCTTTGATATCTTTCCGTTCCATCGGTCTCAAGCCTGAAGTCTTTGTGACCTTGTTATTGTGACAACAAAAAAGAAATGATCAAATGTTAAATTCAAGAGGGATAAAAGTAGGCTAGAGCACACACTGGGTAATTTGTTAAATTCTAGAGCAGGATACACACAAAGCTGCCTTATTTATTATCTCCTGTGGATAGCCTTTAGCCAATAATCCCTATGACCCAGTTACTCAAATGTTAACACATATCCAAAGGGGATATTCCAAGTTGAATGAAACCAGATGCCAAGCATGTTAATAGTAGATTGGAAAAAGCCATATATCCAGCCATTAATTCAATTCTAGGGCATCCCTCTAAATGTTCCTGCACTGATACTCTGCGCTTTTGGGAGAAATTCATAGGCACTGACTACTGAGCAGTGTTTAAAGCAGAATGCCTCATAAGAGGCAGGACTGGCAAGTCGTATAAAGGAAGCAGAAGAATCTAGAGGAGGGAAGAAAAATACATGATTTATTCTGGTTTCTTGGAAAATCCAAACTCACCCAACAGAAACAGAGGCACGGAATTTACCCCATCTGCCTCTTGGGTCTGTTGGTAGCCAATTATTTGAACAAGCTTCTGGGCCTATAGACTTTTATAGGGAGGAAAAGAGCTGAGACTCGCTGTCAGAGTCGGAATCACATTCCACAATGTCTGAGTTTCTAAGTAAAACACAAATAAGTCTTTCCACCCCCACCCCCCAACAGTTCCAATACTGTCTCTCCCTCTTGAAAAATTCCAAAGACTTAGAATCTGAATTATTTTGGAATATCAAATAATATATTCAAGGTACTGTGTTGCAATCCAACCTTTACTCAATGGCATCTGAACTAGGTAATAGCTTTGTTTTTATGTAAAACTAGATATAGTATTGATCAGTATAATTGTCATAAAAAGAATTTAATTCAGTAAGCATTAAGTGACTATTATGTGCCTGGCACAGAAGTTACATAGCACAGTATGGCATAGCATATAGTACTGATCTATAGTTAAGAGATACCGAGTTTGACTCTTAGTTCTGAAACTTACTGCATGACTATAGATGTCATTTCATCTCTGCCTCAATTTCCTCATCAGTAAACTGGAGATAATACTTGGACAATCTGCTTCACAGTATTGTCATAAGGAAATCCTTTTGTGAATCTTAAAGTACTTAACAAATTTTCATTATCATTATCATAAGACAGCCCTTGACTTCACAAACAACATGTGATATGTCAGCAGCTTCTTTCTGCCTGTCTTTTCCAGCTCCTTCCCACTGCTAGAGCTATTGCTGCTAAAGGAGGGGGAGGGGAATGGGAGGCTAGCTTTTAGAGAAACTCTGAATTCCAAAGTGAAGGGAAGGAAGAAGCTATGCAAAGTAGGAATGGTTTTGGGGAGCTGACAACCAGTGTATAGCTCACCTCCCTGAGGGGCAAATGCCATGCTGAAAAACATTTTTTTGGGGTTATTTTTAAAGCAACACTTTAACTATACTGGCTGATTTTTACAGGCTATAGAGAATTGTATGTTTACATATTCTGTGTAAGAATATGGATTCTTACATAGCTGACATTTTGTTACAATTACCATCCATCTTTGTTTCTGGAAAGTCATTTATAAGTACCTCTTTTGGGCCAGAAGACTACATTGGTCAATCTTTACCTTTGAGAGTGAGACCAACTTTTAAAATATTAAAGCACTTTCACACTCTAAGGTGGTCTAAGAAAAAAACCTAAGATTTGCAAATATTGTCACATGAAATATTGTGCATCTATATCCAAATGCTGCTAAGATGAATAGTCAGTCAAAAAACATTTATTAAGCTCCTATTATGTGGCAGGTACTGTGCTAAGCATTAAGGATACAAAAAGGGGCAAAAAACAGTCCCTGTCCCTAAGAAGCTCATAGTTTGATTGGGGAAATCCTTGGAACAACTATATACAAACACGATTTTTCATATCGTGTGTGTGTGTATGTATGTGTATGTATGTGTGCGCGTGAGCTAAATTTGAGATAATCAAAAGAGGGCACAGACATTAAGGGGGAGTTGGGAGAGGCTTCTTGTAGAAGATAGAAGTTAAGTCGAAGTTTGATGGAAGCCAGGAAAGTAAAGAGAGAGATGAGGAAGGAGAATCATCCTGGTATGAAAATGCATGACTTAGGGAGATGAAGTATCTTATCACTGGATCACAGTGTATGACTGGGGAGTGAGGTACTGTAAGAAGACTAGAAAGGTATGAAGGGCTTTGAACACCTAACAGAGCATTTTGTATTTGATTCTGGAGGTGATAGGGAGCCACTGGTGTTTACTGAAATGGGAGGGGTGGTTGTGGTGGTGTGTGATATGGTCAGACCTGAGCTTAAGGAAAATCACTTTGACAGCTGAGTGGAGGATGGATTGGATTATAGAGAGGCTTGAGGCACAGCCAAATACATCTTGCTAAAAGTTTTTAAAAAGCTTTCATTTCATAGGTAGAAAAAATCCATGTTAAGATTGTGTAAGCAACTTGAACATCCTTATTCAAGATATTCTTTTCCCATCAGATCAATATCATCACAAAATCTGCCAGTCGACATTCTTGAATAACCAGACTTCTAGCAACTGCATTTGAAATGTGATGAGTTCAGTTGTAGATAAAATGATACTTGAACGTCAGGGAAAATTGATTTATCCTGGCAAGGGCAAATATTTTTCTAGAATACTACCATCTGTAACGTTAAATGCTTAGTGCTAGAAAGGTTTTTAATTACTAAGGCCATCACACTGTTTGCACAGTAGACATTTTTTGAGAACCTCCTAGGAGAATGATAGGGTAACATTATCTAAGTATGATTCACTGTGCTTGTTTACTACAGAATCTAAAGAGCAGGAGTTCAAAACTCACAAATATGAGATGAGTGAGGGAAGACTTAGCCTAGACAACAATTCCTATGGGGAGGTGTGGGGGGTTTATTGAACTATAAGCTAACTGACTCAGAAGTCTTAACACAGGAGCTGAAAAAGGCTAATGTTGTTCTACACTGCATTAAGAAAAACCCAAAGTCCAGAATATAGTTTCCATATATTCTTTCTTGATTAGGCCAAATCTGGAGTGCCATTTTCAGTGCCAGATACCACGTTTTTTGAAAAGACAGAGAAACTGGAGCATATCCAAAAGATGGCAACCAGGAGAGTAAGAAGTCTTGGCGATCATGGTGCTAAGTAAGGTGATGTTTTGCTTAGAGAAAAGAACAAGACCTGGGTGGGGGATAGTGGGGGGGAGGCATGGAGTGTGGAGGGATGAGGTAGTTGTTTTCAGCTGCCTTGGAGAAAAGGGATCAGACTTGTGCTTACTTGCCCCAGTGAGAAGGAGGGCAGGGACTTTTCATTTTTGTTTTGTATCAGCAGTGTCTGACACATAATAGGTACTTGGGCCTGTCTTCCACTCACTAGAGGTCTCCAAAGCTGGATACCATTTGTCAGGTATGTTATTGAGTGAATTCCTGTTCAGATACAGATTAGTTGAGGTGGCTTCTGAGGTCTCTTCCAACTCTGAGACTCAGTGTGTGGATGTGAAAATACTAGAAGATCATAATGGATAAGTATCTCCCTAGTAATGTGATAGCAGTAGGTATCTCCTGGCCTAAACTTCCTCCTTAATGACATCATGAAGTTGGACAGCCTCTGAAAGATCTCTAGACAAGTAAATTGTAAAGCATATCCAAGGACTTAGGGTAGCTGCTGTCTTCAAGAAGATAAAGAACAAATAATATTAACATTTGATAGTATAAAGTGAGAGTGTCCTTTAAAAGTTTACCAAAGCTTTTTAAGGAGCAGTAATAGTTGAGAATCTTTGAATTTTAGTTTAAAATTTAGAGCTGAAAGGGCCTTTAGCAGTGTATCTCCCTCATATTACAGATGAGTGAGCTGAGGTCCAGAAAGGGGCAAGTTACTTGAAGAGAATTAATTCACTTATCCCTTCCTCAGACATTTATTTAGCACATACTCTGTGTCATATCATGTATCCAAAAGTTCAAGGAAGACACGTAGCTTAGTGGTAGAACTTTGTTCTGTAAAACCTGATGTTCTACTATGGATTCCACCACTCAGCCTTTGTTCCTTTCACTCTCTCCAGTGGCTTCATTTTGTTTAAGAAAGTGCAGTGTTATGGAAAGAACACTGGACTTAACATCAGTTAGACAACCAATTCTGCTTTGAGCCCCCACTCAGGACTGTCACTTATGAGCTGTGGGACCTTTGCCAGTTTAATTGTTCTGAATTTGTTTCCCCCACCTGTAAAATGGGGGAGAACAAGACATATCTGATGGGATCAAATGAAATAATATTCTTGTGAATATAAGGTATTACATCTTCTGGTTTCCACTGTTGAATTTTTCCATTTCTTTAGCAGTCACCACATTTACATAAGAGTGCAGTCTTATCAACATTCCTTATCAAATGACAAGGTAAAAATCATTCTTAAAAAAATTTGTGTATATTTTTATTACAATAACAGAATAAAATAAAGTTTTTAAAAAGCTGCTGAAAAATAGGAAGAATATTGTCATTGGCCAAATTATCCTTCTTGAAATCTAGATGCCAGAACCAAAGGCAGAAATGTAAATAATGATAGAGCTGCTAAGTACTTACTACGTTTGACTAGACAGAAAACGAATTGAACCCTTAGGATAGGGACTTTGAAATTCTGCAGAATATAGAATGTATAAAGGGTGTTGGTCTAGAAATGGAAGCTGTGATTCTGCCCAGCACATACCTCCTGCCCCTGGCCGGGGGGGGGGGGGGGGGGTTTGGGACAAAGCTTTAGGATGACACATCTGTCTCCTGCTCATCACCTACTTCAGATTCCTATCAGTCTGTGAAGGAAACTAGTCTATGCTTGGAAATACTCTCATCCAATCAATAAAGCCAGACAACATTTCAGTTTTCAGAAGTCTGTGAAGATAAAAAATGAAGCACAAGAAAAAGAATCTCCGGGGGTAGCTAGGTGGCACAGTGGATAGAGCTCTGGCCTTGGAGTCAGGAAGACCTGAG